ATCCACTGGTCCACCAAGGCCTGCACGGCCTCATCACCATTGGCAGGTATTTCAGCATCTGCTGTATGGATCGTGAACTGGCAACTGCGACCAGTGAAAGCCTGGCGAGAGTGCGCATGCGCAGCCTTACCCCCATGCTCCACCGCATCCTTTGCCCACATCTGCCACCTGTGAAACCCCTCCCTAACATCCGTCCTCCTCAACTCCTCCACGTAGCTGTCAATGTGCTGGAGATGCTCTGCACCCCTCTCGCCGCCGACCTCGATGGAACCGATAAGGTCTAGCGCGAGCTGCTGGTCTATCTGGCCGTCGCGGCAGAGCAAGCTGGGGACCATGCCCCCGAGTCTATCAAGCCATTGTTGACGTCGAGCCCTGTCTGGTGCACCTAGCTGGCAACTGGAACCTGGAACTTTAGCAGCACGGGTGAAAAGAGGAACAGCCTGGACATCCGTCGCCTTCGGGTCTCCGTGCTGCCTTGCCGTTCTCTTTCGGAGGTCCGCGCGGATTTCTCGGAGGGCGTCATGGGCGGGGCCAGAGGCGCCGTCAGGGACGGTTCAGTGCCGAGCGGATCTCCGAAAGTACGCACACGGGATCGACCCTGGTCCGAGCCTGTTTTTCGAGGAAGTCCCGCGCGAAGCGCTCCTCTTTCTATGGTTCCGAACCGAGTTGTTCTTTGTCCGAACCTACTTGTCGAAGAAGTCCCGCGCGAAACGCTGACCTTTCTATTGTTTCCTTGACTGACTGCTACCGCTTCGAACCGATGCTTGAACCTGGTTCGTATTTGCTGTTGGAAGGAACCCCATGCGGTTTGCCGTTTTCGAACCGCCTTCCCGTGTAGCCCTACAAGAACCGAATTGCGGGTACAAGCCCGAGGTTGCCCGCCCCCCGCTGCCACAGCTCCCTTCCCGTCACATTGTGCCAGGCTCCGCTCGCCTAGCGGGGCACCTCCGATCCACGCTGCGCCAGCACGTCAAACATGCGGGTAGTCTCTCATCATGGCACAGTATGTGACTGTATTTGCCTGTTCGGCGAGCACCCCTCGCGCTGCAGACATCATCGACATATGCCATTCTCGTAGGCTTGCCCCCAGAGCGGATTCCAGGGATCCTCCCAGACTCCCGAACATTGTTGCTCATGTGCTGTATGCTGTTCTGTCTTGCGGGGTGTTTTTCTACGTGCCATGTGTTTTCTCCTCTTGGTTCTCCTGCTCCCGCTCCTCTCCTCCTCCGCCTCCGCCTCCGCCGCCGCCTCCTCCTCCTCCTCTTCCTCCTCCTCCTCCTCCTCGTTCTACTCCTCCTCCTCCTCCTCCTTCTCCTCCTTCTCTTCCTCCTCCTCCTCCTGCTCCTCCTCCTCCTTCTCCTGCTCCTCCTCGTTCTCCTCCTCCTCATTCTCCTCGTTCTCCTCCTCCTCGTCCTCCTCCTCCTCCTCCTCCTCCTCCTCTCTGTTCCCCTGCTCCCGCTCCTGGCTCCGCGTCTTGGAACGGCGGGCTCTCCGCCCCCCGCTGGTCACTGGTCGCTCGGCCTCGGGCTGCTCTCCCGCACGCGGGGGGTGGAGTCGACGGGAATGGACGGCGTCGTGCGGGGCGACGTCCTCTCTCGAAGGAGAAACTTCGGAGGTTGATAGACCTCCTACCCTGACGCGTCGATTCAGGAATTGGCCGTTTTAGGTTCGCGAGAGGACGTCGCGGCCGTCATGTTTGCGGGTCCAGGTCCGTCGGTTTCGGTCCTAGGCCGTTTTCACTAAAGGGAGGTTTACTAAAGGGAGGTTTATCCGCCGCCGAAAGGAGAAAAAACGCCATACACCTAAACTTTAGGCGCTCTGCGCGGATCTCTTGGATCCGCGCTGGATTTCCCGGATTCGCCCCTGGCGCGCTCCGCGCGCCAGGGAGGGGGTCCAGCGCAGATCCAAGAAATTCGCGCGGAGCGCGAAAAGCTTCTGTATGGCGTTTTTTCCTCCTCTACTCTCGCCGCGGTGTCGGAGTTTCCCGCAGAAGGTCGTTGCTTTTTCTTATTCCTTGTCTTGACGATCGGCGCGGGCCCTCGCATCTCCCCCCCTTCCCCACCCGTGGGGTAGACCTTGGCTGTTTTGGGCGCCCGTCTCGAGCAGGCAGAGCCTCTCCCTCACACGACGCGCACTAAGCAGGGGTCCGGAGCCAGACCCCCCCCCCTCCCCCCTCTTTTTGCCCAGTGTCGAGACGCCGAATAAGAACACGCTCACGAGTGGTTTAATTTGGTCGGGCGATCGAGGAGTGCCAGAGCCAAGCGCGGGCTTACCTATTTGTGTGTGTGTGTGTGTGTGTTTCCTTCGCACCTTCCATGCTCTCCCCTCGACTCCTCTGCACTTCTCTGCCCCCCTCCCCCCCTTCCCTCCTCTCCGAAGGGTCCAACTCAGGATGTGGGGGGTTGTTCCGAAAAAAAGGGGTCGGCCTCCCCGGAGGTGGGGCTCGTGGAGTGGGGAGGGCACGATCCATGAAGGTGAGGACTGGCGCGCACCCGCGCGGCTTCTCTGGAGGTAGGGTTCGTGTGTTGAGAAGGGCACGATCCCCGAGAGAAAAGCAGGGCGTCAAGATAGTGGCGCCAACTCGGTGTGATGGGACTCATGCTGAGGCTCGTGCAGTGGAAGAGTATTGCAGGAGGAGGTGATGGAGGAGGTGGAGGAGCTGAGGAGGAGAAGCATGTTCTGGAAAACCATGAGCCCCGCTCAGGATGTGGTGAACACAAGGGGGGGATGAAGGAATTGTTGACGCTTCGCGACTCCCCACCAGCCCATCCAGAAACGATGCCCAGAGGAATTGCCTGGATCAGGGAAGTGGGCAGCACACAGAGGAAGCCATTATGAGACATCTTGGGATATCTTGAGCCATCTTGGATGTCATCTTGGGCTCTCCCAGGCGCTCTTGGAGTCATTTGAATCAGTGCTCCCCCCCAAGAGGCCAACAATGATTTGGCATTCTCGCCGAGGCTTCTTGGAGCATCTTGTGTGCCTCTGGGGGGTCTCTTGGGGCCTCTTGGGGGTCTCTTGGGGGCCTCCTGGGGGCCTCTTGGGGGCCTCTTGGGGCCATCTTGGGGCCATCTTGGGACCTCTTGGGGCCTCCTGGGCGCTTCTTGGGGCCATCTTGGAGGAGATCGATCAAATAAGTGCGGAACATTAATTAGGCTTGCCCCCCCAGGAGGCCAAAATGGGGCCAACACCCTAGTAAAACCAATAACTTTGGCTTCCTCGCCGAGGCCGTGTTGACATTCTCGCCGAGGCCTCTTGGAGCATCTTGGGTGCCTCTGGGGGGGTCTCTTGGGGGCCTCCTGGGGGTCTCTTTGGGGCCTCTTGGGGGCCTCTTGGGGGCCTCTTGGGGCCATCTTGGGGCCATCCCGGGACCTCTTGGGACCTCCTTGGCGCTTCTTGGGGCCATCTTGAAGGAGATCGATCAAACAAGAGGGGAGCATTGATTAGCGTCCCCCCCCCAGGAGGCCAAAATGGGGCCAAGATCTCAGTAAAACCAATGACTTTTGCTTCCTCGCCGAGGCCGTGTGTTGGCATTCTCGCCGAGGCCTCTTGGAGCATCTTGTGTGCCTCTGGGGGGTCTCTTGGGGCCTCTTGGGGGTCTCTTGGGGGCCTGGGGGCCTCTTGGGGGCCTCTTGGGGCCATCTTGGGGCCATCTTGGGACCTCTTGGGGCCTCCTGGGCGCTTCTTGGGGCCATCTTGACGGAGATCGATCAAACAAGAGGGGATCATTCATTAGCGTCCCCCCCCAGGAGGCCCAAATGGGACCAACACCCTAGTAAAACCAATAACTTTGGCTTCCTCGCCGAGGCCGTGTTGGCATTCTCGCCGAGGCCTCTTGGAGCATCTTGGGTGCCCCTGGGGGGTCTCTTGGGGGTCTCTTGGGGGCCTCCTGGGGGCCTCTTGGGGGCCTCTTGGGGCCATCTTGGGGCCATCTTGGGACCTCTTGGGGCCTCCTGGGCGCTTCTTGGGGCCATCTTGGAGGAGATCGATCAAATAAGTGCGGAACATGAATTAGGCTTGCCCCCCCAGGAGGCCAACATGGGGCCGACCCTCTAGTAAAATCAATGGTTTTGGTTTCCTCGCCGAGGCCGTTTTGGACGCTCTGACGCCTCGCGCCCCCCCCTTCCAGGTCCACGGGGAGGGGGTAGGGGGAGGGGTAAACCCCTCCCCGAAGGGGAAGAAGGAGAGGTGGAGGAGGAAACGCCCTAAACCACTGTCGCCCAGAGGGCTGGTGGGATTCCTCGTCAAAGTGGTGGAAGGGGAGGATGAGGAAGGGAGTTTTCCAGCCGCGCGCCTGATCGCCTGGGCGCGGTTGTGTGGCGGTCTCGGGGGAACGAGTGAGGGAGGAGGGTGACACAGGAGGATGAGGAGGTGGACGAGGAGGAGAACGAGCGAGAGGAGGAGGAGGAGAAGGAGGAGGAGGATGAGGAGGAGGAGGAAGAGGAGGAGGAGGAGGAGGAGGAGGAGGAGGAGGGGACGAGGAGGAGGAGGAGGAGGAGGAGGAGGAGGAGGAGGAGGAGGAGGAGGAGGAGGAGGAGGAGGAAGAGGGGGGAGGAGGAGGAGGAAGACGGGGAGGGGAGGGAGGAGCAGGAAGAGGAGAGGAGGAGGAGGAGGAGGAGGAGGAGGAGGAGGAGAAGGAGCAGGAGGAGGAGTAGGAGGAGGAGGAGTAGGAGGAGGTTGAGGTGGAGGTAGAGGTGGAGGAGAAGGACGAGGAGGAGGAGGAGGAGGAGGAGGAGGAGGAACAGGCTTGGAATTCTGGTTCTGGGTGTCGAAAGTTTTTTGTTTGGTGTTACCTGGGGTTCTGGGTTTCGCCTTCTATCGATTCCGGGTTCCGCCTGGCGGGTGCGGTTTTCTCATCGGTCGATTTTGGGTTTCGCCTCGTCCTGGATTTCGCGCTTCGCCTTGAAACAAATCCCTGGCTTCGCCCGTTGACCCCCTTCCTCCCCCCTTGCCCTCCACCGCCGCTCTCCCCTTCGTCTCCCTACCGCCGACATGCTCAGGTGGACGCCGTCGGGGAGGTCACCCACGCCGCGGCGCGCGCGGCGCCAGTGTCGGGTGGGCGTCCTCCTCTCCATCGCTCTCCGGCGCCCCCTCGTCCTCCCAAATTGTCGTCGTCCTCCCTTTCCTCCTCCTCCTCCTCCTCGTCCTCCTCCTCTCGTCCTCCCAGATGGTCGCACGCGCGCGCTTGCGCGCGACTGCGGCCCCGCCCGCGGCCGCTCGGCTCGCAGGCTTGCCCCGGGACGAGGAAGGGCCTCCTTCCCAGCCCCCGTGTCCGACTCCTCTGATCATTGCCCGTCGTTACCACGTTTAAGTCGGGCGTACACGCCAGTCGTTGAAAGTAGGTTTTTTTGGATTCCCAGATCCCATTCTCTTTCAAGCGCCTTCCTACATACTTCAAGAACCGACACGCTTTTGCTGTGTTTTGTTATTCCCTGGGGGGCCTGGACCCAATCAACTTAATCCGCCTTCCTACTTCATGTTTTTACCTACCTCTTCCGACCGACGTGTATCCCTCCACAGAAGAAGTATTCAAAGGTGGTCAAAACATCCTCTGGGGACGATGTTTCGATTATTTGTTGCCTCTTTTTTTGTTTTTCCATTTTTCCTTCAACATCCGCCTGTGGGAGGACGTGGCCGACCTACTGCCACGCCTGCTGTGGTTGTAACTCCGTAGCCCCCGTGCCCACCCGTGCTCCGAACGTGTGCAGAGAGCTTCGATCTCCAACGGTATGTTTTTTTTGTGTCGGCCGTCGTTTTTTTGTTTCTGTTTTTGGTTGTTGTTGTTGCTGCTGCTGCTGCTGCTGTTGTTGTTGTTGTTGTTGGTGTTGTTGGTGTTGTTGGTGTTGTTGTTGTTGTTGTTGTTGTTGTTGTTGTTGTTGTTGTTGTTGTTGTTGTTGTTGTTGTTGTTGTTGTTGTTTTTGTTGTTGTTGTTGTTGTTGTTGTTGTTGTTGTTGTTGTTGTTGTTGTTGTTGTTGTTGTTGTTGTTGTTGAACTCATCACTGATAATCATTGTCGATCCTCTCTCCAGTGCACATCGTATTTTTCAATTGATGTGCCCCTCTCAGCGCTCGCACCCTGCTGCTTATCAGAGAAAGTTTCCATGCTCAAATTGTGTTGTGGGCCCCCCGGGTTACAACAACAACGGCTCCCGCCTAAGACTTCCTCACGATTTAGCCAGGACCCCCGCTCCCGCCCGAGACTCCTTCGTATTTTATCCAGGAATCGCGCTCTCGCTGGGGATTTCTTTATAATTTATTCAGGAATCGCTTTCTCAGCGCTCTGGAATCGGGCTCTCGCTGGAGACTTGCTTGCAGTTTACTTAAGAATAGCGCCCTTTCCGGGGAATTTCTCACAATTTACTAAAGCGACGCGCTTCCGACACTCAGCACCCAGGAGTCGCGCTAAGGCTCCCTCACATCTTTTTTAGGGATCGGGATCTCGTTGCCCTTCATGGCCCCGTTGCAGCACTTCGTGAACTCCTCACTGCCCTTCGTGGACCCCTTGCATGCCTTCGTGGCCCCCTCGCTGCTCTTCGTGGCCCCGTTGAAGCCCTTCGTGGCCCCCTTGCTGCCCTTCGTGGATCCGTTGCCGCCCTTCGTGGCCCCCTCGCTTTGTTCCGTGGCTCCGTTGCAGCTCTTCGTGGCCCCCTCGCTGCCCTTCGTGGCCCCGGTGCAGCCCTTCGTGCCCCCCTCGCTGCTCTTCGTGGCCCCGTTGCAGCCCTTCGTGGCTCCCTCGCTGCCCTTCGTGGCCCCGTTGCAGCCCTTCGTGGCCTCCTCGCTGCCCTTCGTGTCCCCGTTGAAGCCCCTCGTGGCCCCCTTGCTGCCCCTCGTTGCCCCGTTGCAACCCTTCGTGGCCCCCTCGCTGCCCTTCGTGGCCCCATTGCAGCCCCTCGTGGCCCTCTCGCTGCCCGTCGGGGCCCCATGTGCATGTCCTTCGTGGCCCCCGCTCGTTCGCGCCCGTCGTGGCCCCACATGCACGCCATTCGTGGCCCCGCTGTCGCCCTTCGTGGCCCCCACGTTGCCCCTCGTGGCCCCGTTGCTGCCCCCAGTGGCCCCGTCCTTGCCCTCCGCGGCCCAATATACGTACCTATCCGACCGCCCTGCGGGCGATAAGGAGGTTGGGGGGGATTGAGATCAAATGCCCACCCTGACTGACCTCCAGCCTGTCACCTTGATCTCATCTCGGGACACCCGGGACACCGCCCGGCCCAACTGGGACACCTCCCGGCCACCGGCGGACGGGAAACGGATTTTCGCTCCTACTGACACCCGGGACACCCGGGACACCGCCCGGCCCAATTGGGACACCTCCCAGCCACCAGCGGACGGGAACGGACTTTCGTTCCTACTTCGGCCTAGCTGCAGGAGGATCACGCCCAGCTTCGCCTCGCCCGCCCGCACGACACGAACACGAAACCGATACCGATTTCCCGGTAGGGGGTCTCCGTTTCATTGCGGTCTCACCCCCCAACCTCCGATGCCTTTGGTGGCCCCCGCTCGTTCGCGCCCGTCATGGCCCCATGTGCATGCCCTTCGTGGCCCCGCTGTCGCCTTTTGTGGCCCCCTCGCTTTCCTACGTGGCCCAGCTGCTACCATCAGTGGCCCCGTCGTTGCCTTCTGTGGCCCCGCGTTATCTGCCCTTCGTGGCCCCCGCTCTGTCGTGGTCGGTCCCCTGTCCGTCCGTCTTGGGGTCGGGTTGCCGCCGATCAGCGCTGCCGCTGGCCAGGCCGACGGTCCGCGGCCGCCCCGCCGCTTGCCGGGGCCCGGCCTGCAGGGAAGAAATGTCTACCCCCAAAAGGGGTAGATCGATGACGAAGAGGGCGGGTATCGACGGTCTGGGAACTACGCGTTAACGGACATTCGAGCAGATACGAGCGAACCGTCTTAATATTATTGTTGCTGTTGTTGTTGTTGTTGTTGGTGTTGTTGGTGTTGTTGGTGTTGTTGTTGAACATTATTCCTTCTAAAGAATTATTATTGTTGGGACCCCTGGTGCGCGACCTCTGCGCCGCGCCTAGGCCGCAGCTACATTTTCATCATTTTTCTGCGAAAGCTTCAGAAAAGTGGATTACCCCCGGATCCGGTTTTTTGTTCCCCCCCGCTTTCCCTTGCAAAAAACACTATAAAATGACATTTCTTGTTCTAATATAATCAAATTTCAAGAATCCCTTGCAAAAAATAAGGTAAAGTGGACATTCGCGCGCGCAAGACGAAATCCTTCCAAAAGCTTAGTGTTCGGAGCGATTTTAACATAAAAACATCAAAAAACCAATGGTTTTTCAACAAAAAAATGTCAAAATCTCATCCCGCGCGCTCTTGCGGATTCGTAGGAAACCCAACACTTTTTAAACATTTCTGTCAAACGGGCTTTTGCGAGCAACTTTTTCGAACTTCTGCGACAACGGTTGCGCACCTGCCAGGGCCATCATCCCTGTCAAATAATACCATGCGGGACACATTCGTTTTTTGCGCGCGCACGCCGTCTCCACTCTGTCTCTCTGTATTATGTATTGTATGGCACAATTGCACCATGCTGGGCACATGCGCGCCCCGAATAAGTGACCAAGTTCTGTGGGTGTGTACCCCACGCCAGTGTAGTAGCCACGGTCGTCCGCACGCCACGAAGTGAAGTGTCCCAACGTCATAGGGCGGGAAGCTGGGTTTGGGTGGTCGCGAAGAGTCGTTTGGATATTTGGTAGAGCTTGTAATGCCCCCCCACGAAGTGGGGGTATTGCCTGGTGTCGTATGAAAACCCTGGCACTGGGGAGAACACCACGCGTTCGGGTAAAAATGATTGTTGTTGGTGTTGTTGTTGTTGTTGTGTGTTGTTGTTGTTGTTGTTGCTGTGCTGTTGTTGTTGTTTGTTGGTGTTGTGGTGGTGGTTGTTGTTGTTGTTGTTGTTGTTGTTGTTGTTGTTTGTTGTTGTTGTTGAACATTATTAATTCTAAAGAATAATTATTGTTGGGACCCCTGGTGCACGGCCCCCCTGCGCCGCCTAGGCCGCAGCTACATTTTCATCATTTTCGTGAGGAAGCCTCAGGTAATTCGATGTGATCAAGATCCGGTTGTTTTGTTCCCCCCCGCTTTCCCTTGCAAAAAACACTATAAAATGACATTTCTTGTTCTAATATAATCAAATTTCAAGAATCCTTTGCAAAAATAAGGTAAAGTGGACATTCGCGCGCGCAAGACGAAATCCTTCCAAAAGCTTAGTGTTCGGAACGATTTCAACATAAAAACATCAAAAAACTAATGGTTTTTCAACAAAAAAATGTCAACATCTCATCCCGCGCGCTCTTGCGGATTCGTAGGAAACCCAAGACTTTTTCAACATTTCTGTCAAGGGGGTTTTGCGAGCAACTTTTTCGAACTTCTGCGACAACGGTTGCGCACCTGCCAGGGCCATCATCCCTGTCAAATAATGCCATGCGGGACAGATTCGTTTTTTCTTCGCGCGCGCACGCCGAAATCTCCAAAAACCATTGGGTTCTTAAGAATTTTTACCACCGCGCATCATAAAATCACACGAATCGCACCGTAGGGGGTTTTTTTTTCCCCCTTTTTTTCGGAAAAAAAATAAAAAAAAAATAAATAAAAAAAAAACTGTGCACGACTATTCAAAATTTTGCCCTAAAGATGTGATCAACTATCTTGTGAGTACGTATCATGTGTATCATGTGTATCATGTACCATATGCATCATATGCAACAGATGTTCTGTGGAAGGTTTAACAACTTCTGTGGGTTAACAAGGCTTAACAACTTCTGTGGGTGTACGAACGTAGGCTTAACAACTTCTGTGGGTGTGTACTCCACGCCAGTGTAGTAGCCACGGTCGTCCGCAGGCCACGAAGTGAAGTGTCCGAACGTCATAGGGCGGGAAGCTGGGTGTGGGTGGTGGCGAAGAGTCGTGTGGATATTTGGTAGTGCTTGCACTGCCCCCCCACAAAGTGGGGGTATTGGCTGGCGTCGCATGAAAACCCTGGCACTGGTGAGAACACTGAGCGTTCGGGTAAAGTGATTGTTGTTGTTGTTGTTGTTGTTGTTGTTGTTGTTGTTGTTGTTGTTTTTGTTGTTGTTGTTGTTGTTGTTGTTGTTGTTGTTGTTGTTTGTGTTTTTGTTTTTGTTGTTTTTGTTTTTGTTTTTGTTGTTGGTGTTGTTGTTGTTGTTTTTGTTGTTGTTGTGCTTATTGTCTTTCTTTTCGTGCTTTCAATTTTGGCCCCGGATGCCCTTTGCCTGGCCCCAGGACCATCAACATGGGTCGGGGGTGGGTGGAAGCCTGGCCGTGGGGAAGCGGTCAGGGTCTCCTTGTTGCCGTCGAACCGACCATTTCGGCGGATGTCAGGGAAACGATCTGTTTTTTGTTGCCGTCAGGCGCGTGGGTGGGTGGGTGGTGGGGGGTAGTGTTGAGTGGATTAGTACCAAAGGATGGCGAAGTCATAAACATACTCGTGTTTGTGGCTTCCTGCCCATTCGCACCTGCGGGAGCCTGGTATTTCAGGTGGTGACCATCCCAGGCTTTCGCTGCGTCTGCGGGTATACGTTGCCTCGGCAATGCGTTAGCTCTGATTCTACACGCAGCGTTCTCTTTCGTTTTGCGCTGTGTGTGTGTCTCTGTGTGTGTATTTGTCTGTGTGTGTGTGGGTGTGCGTGCGTGCGTGCGTGCGTGCGTGCGTGCGTGCGTTCGTGTTTGTGCGTGCGTGCGTGCGTGTTTGTGCGTTTGTGTGTGTGTGTGGGTGTGTGCGTGCGTGCGTGCGTGTGTGCGTGCGCGTGCGCGTGCGCGTGCGCGTGCGCGTGCGCGTGCGCGTGCGCGTGTGCGTGTGCGTGTGCGTGTGCGTGTGCGTGTGCGTGTGCGTGTGCGTGTCGTGTGCGTGTGTGCGTGTGTGCGTGTGTGCGTGTGTGCGTGTGTGCGTGTGTGCGTGTGTGCGTGTCGTGTGCGTGCGTGCGTGTGTGCGTGTGTGCGTGTGTGCGTGTGTGCGTGTGTGCGTGTGTGCGTGTGTGCGTGTGTGCGTGTGTGCGTGTGTGCGTGTGTGCGTGTGTGCGTGTGTGCGTGTGTGCGTGTGTGCGTGTGTGCGTGTGTGCGTGTGTGCGTGTGTGCGTGTGTGCGTGTGTGCGTGTGTGCGTGTGTGCGTGTGTGCGTGTGCGTGCGTGCGTGCGTGTGTGTGTGTGTGTGACAAAGCTCCTGCATCAGATCCGCAGCACGTCGTCAAGTGCGCCGCTATCAAAATGACGTCTTCTGGCATCAATACAAAAGGGCGTCCCTCACATTGAAGCGAGTTCGCAGCATGTGCTACCAGCTCGCGATACTAACTTGCAGGGCCCTTGGGCAGATGTGTTCGGAGTATTGGCTGCTGTTGTCATGCTTGCCAGCAGGCCGAAACAAGATCTCTCCCCCTGCTTCCTCCTCTCTTGACCAAGGCGTGCGGGCGAAACACTGCAATCAGATCCTCTCCTTCATTGCCGGCCCGCTCCTCCCTCCTCCTCGCTCCCCGCTCCCCGCTCCGTCCTCCCTTGTCCTCTGCCCCACTGTGCGCCCTCTGCTATCTGCGGGGGGGTCTGCGGGGCGTCCCGTGGGGCCTTGACTCAGACCCCCGACGTCGTGATTGTTTCACAACGTCGACCCCCAGAGGTCTTCCCCGAGACCTGTTTTTCATCCTGGGCCGTTTTTTGACGGTCCCGAGGCCTGGGAAGGGCCCCTGGAGGCCGACATCAGCGAAGCACGTTCCCGTCGCATTTTTGTTCACATCGCGAGGCACGTTCTGGGAGCATGGTGGGTCTCGGGCGGGGCCTGGGGGCGGTCGTGGGCGGGGCCTCGGGCTTGGGCATCTGTCCTGGGCCGCCGCGGCGGATCTTCGGGAGGAGGAGGAGGAGGAGGAGGAGGAGGAGGAGGAGGAGGAGGAGCAGGAGCAGGAGGAGGAGGAGGAGGAGCAGGACGTGGGGGAGGGAACGGGACGGGGCAGCGGGGCAGCCGGGGCAGCGGGACCGAGCTGGCTCGGCCGGCGGTGCGGTCGCCGCCTCCTCCTCGTTGATCCTCCTCCCCTCCTCCTCCGACTCATCCTCGTCTCTCCTGGAGCCTAAATTCCTCCTCTCTGGGTCCTCGGGTCCTCATACCTCCTGCTCCTCCTTCTCCTCCTGCTCTGTGCTAGCTGCTCCTCTCCTCCCCTCCTTATCCTGCTCCTTCCTCCACTCTCCTCCTCTCCTCCTCCCCGCTCCTCCTCCTCCTCCTCCTCCTCCTCCTCCTCCTCCTCCTCCTCCTCCGGCACGGCGATGCGCGCGCAGGGAGGCGGCGGAAGGCAGCGGGGGCGAAGCGAGCTTCCCGTGCGCGCGCCCGCGGCCTCCGCAGGTGGCGCGTCGGGCGTCACGGCCATCTTTACCAGCCTCGAACGTATCCCTATCCCTGAGATTGGCACGCCAAACGGCGATGAGAATCTTAGGGCTTCGCCCTCAAGAAGTAAGGGAATCCCTGAGATTTTCATCGTGATGGGAAGGTGCCCAGCACAGGGATAGGGATGTGTTCCAGGCTGGTAGCATCTCCGTTTCGGCGGAGGGGCACACGGTGGTGGAGCTGTGAGCTGGCAGGTCGGGGAGCAGGAGAAGTGGCACGAGCACGGGCTCGCGGAGGTCCGCGCGGATGTCTCGGGTCGGCGCTGGGGGCCCTCCGGGCGGCGCGTTCCGCCTCGTCCTCTTCCTCCTCCTCCTTCTCCTCCTCCACCTCCACCACCTCCTCCTCCTCCAGCGCCGATCCAGGAAGCCGCGCGGACTTCGGAGGAGGACACATTCAGAGGAGGAGGGGGAGGGAGGGGGAGAAGCGGTGGATCTGCAGAGTCGCTCGATCCCCAGGGCCTCCAAGGCGTCTTCCTGCCTGTGCCATGTCTCCTGTTCCTCCCGCAGCAGAGGGCCTCCATGCCCAGGCGGAAGGGCAGGCCGCCGTCGGGCAGCGGCGGGCGGCAGAGAGGCGGGAGGGAGAAGACACAGTTGATCGTCGATTCCCCAGAGCATGTGCGAGGATACGGGAAGTGGGGGGGGAAGACACAAACCCAGAAACTGTTCGAGCATATGGGGGAGGGAAGGCACAAGCCCAGAAACTATTCGAACATATGGGGGATCCTGTCATCTGTGCGTCTTTGTGTCTGTGTGTCCCAGGGCCCTCTCCTCGAGAGGGGCAGAGGCCTGGCCCTCGGAGGTCCGCGCGGGCCTCGGGGCAGGTTTGCTTTTCGTGTGCCGTCGGTGGCTCTTGGGGTTCCATGGGTCGGGGGTGGACAGGCCTCCTCTTCCTCGTCCTCCTCCTCCTCGTCGTCCTCCTCGTCGTCGTCCTCCTCCTCCTCCTCCTCCTCCTCCCTCCTCCCGCTCACGTGGGGGGCTGGGGGGGGGGCTGGGGGCTGGGGGGGCTTCGTGGTCTCGGGTTTGCCGTCGGTCGGTTGGCAGGGTGATCGTTTTCTTCTTTCACTGTTTTGCCAATCGGGGCGGGCCCTCGCAGCCCCCCCTCCCCATGGAGTAGGTCTTGGCTGCCGTTGGCGCCCGTTTCGAGCAGGCGGAGTCTCCCCCACGGGGCGCACTGCTGCAGGCAGTCGCGCTGAGCAGAGGTCCGGAGCCAGACCCTCCCTCCTCGCCCCCCCCCCCCTTCCGTCCAGTTCGGGGGTGGACAGACCTCCTACCCTGACGCGTCGATGGAGGAATTGGCTGTCTTCGGTTCGCGAGGGGGCGTCGCGGCCGTCGTTTTTTTGCGGGCCCAGGTGCGTCGGTTTCTTGTCCCGGGCCGTTCTCTTTGAGGGGAGGTTTACGAAAGGGAGGTTTGTCCACCGCCGAATGGAATACAGAAGAAAACGTTTGCATAAACATACACTTGCTTGCGCGCCGCGCGGATTTCTTGGATCCGCGCTGGTCCCTCCCCCCTGGAGGCGCCTACGGCGCCGCCCATTGCGCGCTTCGCGCACCAGGTAGGGGGTCCAGCGCGGATCCAAGAAATCCGCGCGGAGCGCCAGACGTTTATGGTTATGCCGTCCGTTCTTCTTCTATCAATGGAGGGCAAACCATCCCGATCCTGAAAATTGGCGTTTACGACCATGCCCTGGGCGTTCCTTAAATAGCCCTGCCCTGCTCGATTCCTCCCTTGGGTGCGTTTTCAAAACGGCTTCGCTTGTCGGGGTGCTTCTTATTACGGGTGGATGTTTCTGTTTTGCCCCCTCCCCCTTTTGGGTCTCCTTGCTCGGGGTTCGTTCGGGGGGGTTCTGCGAGATGGGTGCTTGGGGCGCACGGGCAAAGCTCGCTACATCTCATCCCCAGGGTCTTCTGAAGCAATTAGGAGGACGAGAGGAGGAGGAGGAGGAGAAGGAGGAGGGGAGGAAGCACGAGGTGGATGAGGAGGTGGAGGAGGAGGAGCAGGAGGAGCAGGAGGAGGAGGAGAAGGTGGTGGAGGAGGAGGAGGAGGAGGGTGGGGAGGAGGGATATGAGCTGAGTGGGGTGAGCAGCCGGCTGCCGCGGACTGCCCTTCCTCCTGGTGCTCACTTGCGCTTAAGTCAGGTCTCCAGCAGCCGGCAGTGGCGCCGCCTGCTTCGCTCCGCGTGAAAAAAGGAAGCGCTCCTTCTCCCCCGCCTCCTCCTGCGCCTCCTCCTCCTCCTGCTCATCCTCAGCCTCTTCCGCTTCCCCTTCCTCCTCTTCCACCTCCTCTCCTCCTCCTCCTCCTCCTCGCTCCGAGGCGGGCGTTGAGAATATTCCCGCGTTGTCGACCCGTTCACAGCATCTGGCTAAGCCGTTTATGCACACCGCGGAGTCAAGGCGCTTGGCTGGAATGCGGAATGACGAGGGGGAGGGGGCGTGAGGAGCGGAGGGAGGGTGGAGGAGTGGATTTGCGAAGGCTGGCATGGCCATGTATTTTCGTTGTGCACCCGCCTCTTCCCTGTGACGCCTTCCTGCCTCCTTCCAGCACGGGAGTCTGCAGTGGTCCTCGGAGATCCGCAGGAGGCCCCCAGATGTTGCTTGAGGCCGCCCGAGGTCCCAAACGAACCACAACGTCCAACATCCTCTCTCCAGGAGCAGGAAGAAGGGCATATTAACCACGAGTGGCGTCTCCTCGCTTCTTCGAGGTGTAGTGTCCATCGGTGCCAAGCTAGGCTGGCGCGCCGCCCGACTCTCCTCCTCCCAGCCTGTCTTTTCTGTTGCTGTGGGTTCTGGGATGCAGTGCGACTGCGCATCAAGACACCGTACAGTTTCTCATGAGGACCTCGACTTCAAGAGGAGGAGGAGGAGGAGGAGGAGGAGGAGGAGGATCGGATCGGATCGGATCGGATCGGATCGGATGGCCGCGCAAGAGCTGCAGTCAGCTACTGCCGGGGGCGCGTCGAAGCCAAATGCGCCTCGACAGGCCACAGGCCTGCTCGATGCAGGCCGAACGATCGACGAGCCCGTCGTGAGGGGCCCTCGGAGGGCAAACACTCGACTTTTGAAGACCGAGACGCAACAGCATAGGGCATTGGACGCCCGGAGAAAACACCACCTCCCAATCATGTAAACAGCACCCCCACCCAACCTCAAGCTTCCTCCTTATGTAGGCGGCGGCTGCAGGCGGGTGCGGCGCGCCTCGCTGAAGGTGGTGTTCCCGACCCGCCCATCGGGACGGATGGCACGGGAAGCGGGAAGAGAGATCAAGACATGGAGCACAAGCATGCTGCTGCTGCTGCTGCTGCTGCTGCTGCTGCTGCTGCTGCTGCTGCTGCTACTGTCTGCCCTCATTCACGTAGCAAGGAAAACAAGACGTGTAAGAAATGCCTGCTCGACGGCGCATTGGCGCGATCCGTGCTGCACAAGCCTCCACGGTAGAGAAGATGGCAATCGAATGAGAATTGTCCAAATCCTGATCCTCATTGGACGGCTCGTCGCTTGTGTTCAGGTCGAGAGCCTTCCTAATGCGTGCAATGGTCGAGTCTCCTCTAGTCGACCTTGCCACGGCGAAATCAGGACCCATCTTCCGAGGGACCCCTGACAGATTCAACAAACAACCTACGAAGAGCCAGAACCAGTCTGAGTGGTCTGAATCCTGAACACAGCTTTCTACAGAAGGTAACACTGCATTTAAAAGCGCCCGCCCTAAGACTTTGCACATAGCCTCAGGATAGACCTTCTTGGGAGCCGTTCTGGACATCTTCCTGTCATGATCCCATCCGAGCAAAGCATTGTGAGCTCTGGGCAGCGTGGCTACGCTTGCCCCCTCCAGGAGTGTTTAGCAGCATGCCATGCAACGACCCTAGACTTATAGCACGGATACCTGTGGGCTGTGGGTGCCTTGCCCGTCAACTGTCCGAATGCGCACTGGTCAAACTCGGAGTATGAGGCACACGGGGCACTGGCGAGAGCTTTGACAGGCCTAAAGCTCCACGAAGGAAGAGCCCTAGGTTCTCAAGTGGTGGCAGCAGGATGCTCTCCCCATCCACGTCCTCCTACCTCAGCACATCCTGCGAGCAGCGCGATGTGTGACATGAATTGAACATTCGCAATCTGAACCTGAAGTCGCTGTCTAGGGGTGATGGCCTCTATGCCCCATGGAGCAGCCCAGGAACGCAGCGGAGGGGTACCTCCGTCCTTCCAACGTGCTTCCGAGAACGTTTCACACGGAGGTCCCCCTCTTACTGCAGCAACTTTACTTGCCCTCATGTGCGCACTCTATAGACTAACTGTGGCTCATTCTCATGGGTAATATTAATTATGGAGAGCTCCCAGCGTAGGCCGAGCCAGCACAGTGTAGATGAAGTTGTAGGTGTAGGTGAACCGCTAGTCATTGGAACAACCTTGACGTATTGATCCCTGGTACACCAGGTACAGGTCGCAACAAGCAACACAAGTGCCCGCGGCCTTCACGGTGAAACTCATCGAGCGAGGCCTCCTTCTAACTGCGCGAGCATACGTCCGCAGAGCTTTGCGCTGATGTTTCGAATCTGCGCTGGGGACCCCCACCCTGGCGCGTGGGGCGCGCCAGGAGCGGCGCCGAAGGGCGCCGCCGGGAGTCCCAGCGCGTTCGAGGCGGCGTCAAACAGTACAGGAGGGGAAAAACCACACAGACACACTTAATCGTCGATCCCCTGGAACAGATGGGAAACTATGAGAAGTGGGGGGGGAAGACAGAGTCACAGAACATATGGGAACTTATGGGGGCTCCTGATATTTGTTGCATTTATCTGTGTGTCCCAGGGCCCCTTTCAAAAGCACTTCTGCGAGTTGTCCTCGCAGGCGCACTCCGGAGGTCCGCGCGGATTGTTCGGATCGGCGCTGGACCTCCGACCTCGGCGCCGGCGCCAGTGGGGCGGCACCCGAAGTGCTTCTGCAAACCATGCCCTCCATATGCGTAACTTGCGTGGCCGTGGAGAGGCTCTCAAAGGCCTCATATCAGAGCCCCGAATCATCGGGGGTAACTCGGGTCAGGGCTAACCGGGGTTCGTTTTTCGGGATTCCGAACCCGACTTACCCCGGACCCGACTTACCCCGGATAGTTCGGGCGTCCAGAGCCCCAAATCATCAGAGGTATCTCGGGTCAGGGTTAACTCGGGTTGTTTTTTCGGGAATCCAAGCCCGAATCACCCCGGACCCGAGTTACCCCGGATAGTTCGGGCACCCAATCATACCCATGGAGAATATCTCTTATGAAGAATTCCCAGCGTAGGCCGAGCCAGCACAGCACAGATGAAGCTGTAGGTGTGGGTGATACGCCAGTCATTGGAGCAACCTTGAAGTATTGATCCAATGACTGAACTGTGGGGCTATCTCCATGGCCAGTGCATCTCTGGCAGCCACGTCAACATGTGAACCATATCGGGCATTTGGCCGGGTTAAGCAAAGAGTCGGGGGTCGTTTTTTCTCGGTGTGTCAGAGGACATATTGCGAGAAAGAAACGGCGCACGTGGATATCGATGGGCACGTGGATAACGCACGCAAATTACTAAAAAGCTTAGCTGCGAAATAGCAGTGACATAAACACTGGTCACGCACAGAGAAGACTTGGAGCCGGCAGGGATGGGTCTCACCATACAACGAGAGCAGACTCTCGCGCATGGGTATTCGAGTATTCGCATCTCGTGCTTGCAGTGGCACTATGGTGTATCTCGTGCTTGCAGTGGCACTATGGTGGACCTTGAATGCAAATGGCCGCGTGGTATGGCAAGCACGCTTTCGAGGTCATCCAGTACTCGCAGACAGTCGCGCTTTGACGGCGCATTGCCAAGATCTGGTTGAAGTCACATGGGACCCTGCGTGCACGAAAGCGAGAAATGATTGCGACCGACCGATAAGCGGCATATGGCCTCGGGGGCCTACCGTTATATCCTCTATTCCATCGCAGTTCGAGGGATAGCTGCTCGCCGCGTCAGGGGGCGGGGCGAAGGGGAGAAGCGAGGAGAAGAGAGGGAGGCCAACCACACATTGCCACCATATTTTGCAAATGCCGACTTCCACTCCGCAGTGTCGTGAAGTAGATAATGAAGCGGATCAGAACTGCAGGCAACCTTTCACACAGCATGCGAATGTAAGTATGATGTCCGTAGCAAGTGCGGGCGCCCTCGAGACCGAGCGTTGTCCCAAGATCTTGCCAATAATGATTGGCAATGTCCACTCTGGACATTCAAAGTGGGGCTTCACAACACCTGCCAAAGAAATATCACACATGCTGAACTTACATAAACTGCGATGTCGGAATTGTCTGGTTGAAATCATTGGACTGGCATACAACGTGGTTGTAACTCATGGCTTAGGGGACCATCTCTCAACCCACGCCGAACTTCGCTTGCGGGGCGACGAGATCTATACATATCCACTGCTCCTGGCCAAGCCCATCCTGGGTCCAGGAGCGGTGTATATGTCCCCCTGGCTAGGTCACGAGGGCGTATGCACCGCTCCCGGGCCCAGGATGGGCCTGGCCAGGAGCAGTGGATATGTATAGATCTCGTAGCCCTAGCTTGTCAGCCAGATCCTAAATCTGACGATTCGAACGGTCCGCAAGTACCATGAAGAGCAAACGCGTAATCGTGAATTTGAACGCCCTGATAACGAAGATGCATCGCGGGAGGGGGGCACATCGAAAATACATTCGAAACCACCAGACAGCGACATTGGACAGAACATTCAGACTTTCATGAGTGGCACGAACACGGCCGTTGTCCATCAGGAGTGGCACGAATATCGTCTTGGGTTCACAAAGGTTCAATGCCACGAACATCAATACTTACATCCAGGAAGGCTTGGGCAACACTTGCTTGACCCAACATGGCTTGAGCCACATGGCTACGGAGGAGGAGGAGAAGGAGGAGGAGGAGGAGGTAGAAGGGGGAGGGGGAGGAATTGGGAGGAGGAGAAGGAGGAGGAAATGCAGGAGGAGGGGCAGGAAGAGCAGGAGGAGGAGGAGGAGAAGGAGGAGGAAGAGCAGGAGGAGGGGCAGGAAGAGCAGGAGGAGGAGGAGGAGGAGGAGGAGGAGGAGGAGGAGGAGGATGAGAGGGAGGAGGAGAAGGAGCAGGAGGAGGAGGAGCGGGAGGTGGAGGAGGACGGT